TGTAGATAATATATTTATTTATCAAATTGATTAATTACCTCCTCTATAATATCCAATTCCAGGAACCGAGGTGTATTGATGGCAACACTCAGTAGTACAGCAGGGAGTATATACACTCCAGTCCTGTACAGTATATAGTGTAAAATAGTACAGCAGGGAGTATTTACACTCCAGTCCTGTACAGTGTATAGTGTATAATAGTACATACAGCAGGGAGTATATACACTCCAGTCCTGGACAGTGTATAGTGTATAATAGTACAGCAGGGAGTATGTACTCTCCAGTCCTGTACAGTGTATAGTGTATAATAGTACATACAGCAGGGAGTATGTACTCTCCAGTCCTGCAACAGTGTATAGTGTATAATAGTACAGCAGGGAGTATATATAACTCTCCAGTCCTGCAACAGTGTATAGTGTATAATAGTACAGCAGGGAGTATGTATAACTCTCCAGTCCTGTACAGTGTATAGTGTATAATAGTACATACAGCAGAGCCCAAAACTTAAAACAGGGTATCGTTATGAAAACCAGTTTTGAAACCCGGGTTTCAAGAATGGGATTAGGCAGTTTTGTGGATATCAATATTTTTGTTATGAAATATTTTTTTTTTATTAAGTTTCTTCACATTTTCCATTTTTGTCAAATCTCTTAAATCAAATCTACAAAATGTTAAGACCCCAAAAAGGAAACTCGGGAGTTTCGTTCAACGATACTCTTTTAAATTTCGGGCTCTGGGAGTATGTACTCTCCAGTCCTGCAACAGTGTATAGTGTACAATAGTACAGTATATTTTGTCCTAGAACTTGTGAATTTTTACCAAAGATTTATTTCCAGGATTTTTTTTGTCCACACACTTTTTTCCTGTTTTTAGCTGTTTTATTCTTTCATTGAAAATCAAAAAGAAGAATGTTTCAATCACTCTCTTTAATTGAAAAATCACGTGCAGAACATCTTGGAAAAATTTGATTAAGATTTATTTTGGAAGATACTTAAAGAAGAAATTGATTTGGGATGGTGCAACGTGTAAGCTGTAGCCAGTGTGAGCTCAATAGCTCGGAATATGGATAGTTCTGGTGATGTAACCCGTTCAGTCCTCAAACGACCCGGAGCTAAGCCCGGATTGCAACTAGTCCGGCCTATAAGCATCACAGCTTATTAGCTCTTTTGTATATAGCTATAGGTCGGACAGAAAGTGTGGCGGATGATAAGTCGCCTTGTGTATAGTGTATTCATATTTTGTCTGTTAAAAGATGCTATGCAGAAATCATGCTTTTAAATGCTTTCAACGCGTGGAAAATTCCGGCTGCCGGTAAACTCTCTATTTTAAACTCAGGCAAATTCAGGCCCCCAGACTTTGAGACACGAGGGAGCGGAAAAACCGTCACATGAGGCGGAAGAAAGGCGGATAGTCTGCCAAAAAGCTCCGGCTTTATGTAACTCATAAGTATCAAGCATTATTTGTTCTTTTTTTTAATGTAAATATATTTTTTCCTGTACTCTATAGACTTATTAATATCAGTTTCAGGCTTTACATTATCTTTACTTTCGACCACTTTTAAATGGTAAGAGTACTTTACAATTTTACTGTGATCGCAATAATTGAAATCTTAATGAAGTTCTTTATTTCATATTTACAAACTGGCAGGAAAAGGTATATTTTTGACATAATTATTTCAAGAATCATATTTCAGAATCAAGGTTATCTATTATTCTCATATTGTGCAATATGCTAAATATAAAATATATACAATATGTACATTATATACAAACTATAAGATATACACAATATGTACAATATATACAAACTATAAAATATGTACAATATGTATGAACAAAATGTACAATATTGTTAATATTTTGTAATATTTAAAATACAATATTTAAAATACAAAATACAAAAATATGTTCATTTAGGAAAATGTTTACGATTTGTGCAATATATAGAATATGTAAAATATGTAAAATATTGTATATATTGTACACATGTAATATAAATACTTGAACTATGTACTATGTACTATACCTGGCTGCTAGTGAGTAGTCTACTGAGACCTGTCTGTAGTACAAGGGTTGGCAGACTGCTAGAAACCTATTCAAAAACGTCTTATATAAGTCACTTCAAAGATTCCCTTTTTAAAATTTCTCTTTACGCCTTTTTTGTACGTCTCTATAAATTTGCACAAAACGCTTATTTTTTCGTTCGTGAGAAAAATAAACTCTATCAACGATTATGCAACTTAATTGATATTTTTAGCTTGTTTTCAGAGCAAAAAATCGATTAATTTGGCTTGTTCTTCGAATTGGTTAATTCTTCTAAACTAAACCATCGTTCATCTCATTCGTTAACACACAATGTCCATTATTACTTCTAGGGAATATCTCAAACATCTGATAAAAATAAAATGAAAAAAGTTGATGGCGACCACCTGATGTCCATGTCTCGAAAAATTGATATAAAACTGTGTCCGAGTTATACAAAACCTTTAAAATTATACGTTGTACTTTTGATGACAATTTTTTTGGTGGCCGCTAGGTGTCTCTGCCAAGTAGGGTTTCCAGCAGAATGGAAAAATCGCAAAAATTCCGCACCTACAAAATCTGTGCATCCGACCTACAAAAGTTGTGCATCCCACCTACTAAAGTTATGCGCCTGAACGACTAAAGTTGTGATCCGACCTAGTGAAGTTGTGCATCCGGCCTATATAACTATAAAAGTTGTGCAGCCGACCTGGTTGTGCATCCGACCTACTAAAGTTGTGCATCCGACCTACAGAAGTTGTGCATCCGATTTACAAAATCTGTGCATCCGATCTACAAAAGTGTGCATCTGACTTACTTAAATTTGTGTGCAACCGTAAGACCGATCCTTCTGGTAGCACTGTCAACTACATACTGACAACATTTGCATTTCCTGCGTAGGTCGAATTGACAAAATAGAATATACATCCGACCTACATCTGTCGTAGGTTCGATGTCAAGTGGTTCGAAGTATCGTAGGACGGAAGTACTGTAGGTCGGAAACCAATTAAAGAATTATAACTAAATAATTCCCTAACTATACTATATAGTTATAATTATGAAGTTTATAAGTTTTTATTGGTAATATATCATTATCAACAAAATATAACAATCCTTTTAAATCTCGCAAGTCGCAAGTGATTTATCATTTAAATGTCATTAAATGTTGGCTCTGAATACTTGCTGAAAAATCAATATATAATCAAATATTTATTCCTCTATATCTTGTTTATCTGGCTAGGTATTGTAGTTGAGCTGAGAATGCAGTTTTGTACAGGGTGACTTTAAACAGTCGATTTTTTTTCGTCTATGCTTTATTGGATGAAAAATCGATATTTTTTTAACAAAAAATCTCTCAATTTCTAACTTTTTCTCTGACATTTGATAATAATAACAATGGCTACATCCAGAAAAAAAGATCACAGGTGAAAAACCGGTTTCAATTGAGCGTCGGCTTGAATCTTGAAACATTTAATACAATTTTAAGTGGAACCAACTAGATTTGAGCCGCGTCTCAAATTCTTTAAATTCAGCCTCAGGTAAAACAGTCTAAAAATAAGGCATTCTTCGGCATTTTTATCCATTTTCTCCATAAAAATTATGGTTTCTTACCAGGGGGCGGGCATAACTCTCCTAATTTTGTGAAATTTGTCGAAAAATGTTTTCTTATGACTGAGTTGGTATCATAGAGTACAGTGGGTTTAATCCTAAGTACATTCAAGAAGTCTAAAATTCCAGATGCCCCCTCTATTACTAATATCTCGATGTTTCTTACCAGATGTAATAACTCTTTGAAGGACTCTAAATAAAAGAGAAGATCATGTAGAATACTATTTTAGCTTTTAAAATATTGATTTCGATGATAAAAAGTCAAATTGTTCAAATAGGTTTCGAAGTTGTTTGAGAGAGAGCCTCATTAAGAAGAGAAAGATTAATAATTCAGGAGATGATTAATTTCTTTATCAAATGTCATGTAATAACGAGTTAATAAATATCAAAATTAAATGTTTATTTTACCTTGTTTAGGCTTCGATGAACATTAAAAAAATCGACTTTAAAAATCATCCTGTAGAGCAATTTTTTAGGATTCATTTGAGGCCTTTGAGACGTTTTTACGGTGCATATTGATCTTAAAATCCTCATCGATTGTTCATCTCATGGAGCTATAAGGGATAATTTATAGAATCGGGTTAAAAAAATATTCAATAACGACGACGAAAAATGTAACAAAAATTTAGATATATAGGAACATATTTCTCAATAGAAAATTGTCAATAAATCAATGTTAAAATCGAATATTTCTTTTTCATCATTATTTTAAAATTCTTTTTCTTTATGAATTTGTTCGCAAATTTTTTAAAACTCTTCAAATGTCGTCTTTTCAATAAACATTCCAGGACATCTTCGGAAAATGTTTGTAAACAATGAGACATGACAGAAACCAATACCTTGCTAAGTAAGATAACTTATTTTCGATGATAAGAGATAATTTCTATTTTCTCAACCTGTTCCTAAACTTCTAATTTATACTGCTGAATTTTGTTACATTTTTCGTTGTCGTCATTGAAAAATAAAAAAAACCGATTCTCAAAATCATCTCTAAAAAATGAGCAATCTATGAGAATTTTTACGATTGAATTTGCGTCCTTGCTGAACAAATATGCACCGTAAAAACGTCAGATAGGCCTCAAATGAATCCTAAAAAATTGCTCTGCACTACTGCATTCTCAGCTAAAATGCAAAGCCAGACTCTCCATACAAAGCACCAAAAAAGTAAGTGTTTGAATTGCGCGTAAAAATATCCAGGGAAATATTCTCAAAATTAAAGAAGAAAAAATATTTTAAGTATTTCTAAACCTTTTCAGTGGCAATACATTTTCATGAAAAAAAAAACTACAAAACCCGGCTGCAAATTGTAAACAATGAATTTTTCATATGAGTTTGATCATTAATTACTTTTTTGGGTTTGGAAAAATTTTAAGAAAGTGATTATACACTTAAAAACACCTCTCATGGGCTCATCTGCAGTTATCTGATTCCTAAATTATTTACGTACTGCAGTTATCCTGATTTCCTAAATTATTTACGTACTGAAGTTATCCTGATTTCCTAAATTATTTACGTACTGCAATGATCTGTGGCAATTACAGATATTGCATTTTCTCCGAATAAAATATCTTATTTTTAATAGAAGATTAATCTTCATCATAAGGTTTCTCTATATAAATCATTTTAAATTCATTTTAAGAACATTAATACCAATTTATGATGAACAGTCTGATTTGCAATGGTTTCTCTAGGTGTAAGGTACTTTTCTAAGAGTTTTTCCCCGAGCGGCAACTTCCCAAGAGTATCTTCCCAAGCGGCAACTTCCCAAATGATTGGGAAATTGCTCATTTGGAAAGTTTCCACTTGGAAAAATATCCTTGGGAAAATGCCTGTAGGAAAGTCCGTAACATCTTTCTTCCATTTTTTCCCCAACAGTCCCTTTAATACAGGGTTACCCACAAAAATTGAGATTTTTTAGACGACTGTACGGAATTTTATTTGGTCTTTTTTTTAATTCCTGGTTCCATATGCAGTTGCACATTTGGTTCTATATAAAACTATCCTACAGTTAGAAAGAAAAAACTGTACAGAAAAAGGAATACGACTTTTTACTCAAGTTGTGATTTTTAATAGTTTAAAACAACATGAGACACAGCAGTTGTGCAGTGTAAACAGACAAAAAAATTGTTAGGCTGCATTTAAACTCATAAAGATTGACTTAATGTCGTCTTCATATTTCACAGTTTTCTGGTGCTCACTGAAGTACAAATTCAACCCTCAGATTGTTAAAAATAAACAGTTTTAAGTCGTCATTCAAGTCTAATTCTTTGTGGGTAACCCTGTAAACATTTCAAGGATTCATCAGAGTTTCCATTTAAATGCTAGAGCGAGTGTGATGTATGTGGATAAAGAGGAGATAATATTCTAGAGAGGAAACAACATTATTACCTTTCAAATGCTAGAGCGAGTGTGATGTATGTTGATAAAGAGGAGATAATATTCTAGAGAGGAAACAACATTATTAACTTTCAAATGCTAGAGCGAGTGTGATGTATGTGGATAAAGAGGAGATAATATTGTAGAGAGGAAACAACAAGATTACCTTTCAAATGCTAGAGCGAGTGTGATGTATGTAGACAAAGAGGAGATAATATTGTAGAGAGGAAACAACACTTTAGGGAACAGTATAACATATGCAGCCGAGTGTTCAGATACTGGCCAGCTGTGTCCTAACAACATTTTTAAAGGTTAGAAATTAAAGAATTTTTCACAAACCATATAATTATAGAAAACATGTCTTGACTTAAAGAAGCTATATTTAAAGCATTTTGTTAAAGTCAAACATTCTGTTTACAATCTCTACTATCTATTAATTTCCTGTTTCAAGACTTGCCAATGTTAATTTAGTATCAGAAACAAATTAAAAAGCGTATTTGTAAAAAATAGCAGAAATCAAAACTTTTGTCCCAAATGGCGCGAAAATACAGCGTTTGATCTCGATATCCGATGTGAAAACATCTTAACTTAATAGATAAATTCTTGATCCTTAATTACATTTTAACAATACATGATTACCACCGGATATCAGAGAGAAATTATATAAATCTGTAAGTCTGCGAAGATGAGTGCAATTGATCCTGAGATTCATAACCCAAAAGTTCTGACCACAGAACATTTTTTTAAATAGAAGATCTTAACTAGATCATTGTAATTTAAACGTCTCAATAACTCAAGCAAAAATTGATGCTAATTTTGCCAATTACTTTTTGTAACTGAAAGCTAACAACAAGTACTTTATGGTGCTAAAATGTACACATAAAAGCATAATTGAGTTAGAGCGGTAAAATTAAAGCCCAAAGCGTTGCAACACAACAAATTTATGAGAATTTTTATAAGCTGTTGTTAAAGAAAAGTTCATCAATTGGACCACCTTTTCGGGGGGGGGACACAGAAAGAATCCCCCCCCCCCCCTCTGCTTTCCAGGGTTTAGTAAATAACAAAACTGTTGAATAAAGAAGAATATGACATCTCAATAGATAATTTCTTGAATTCTAAATATTTCTCAAATATTTGTTTAAACATATTTGAAACATTTTCCCTCTGATTTTATGCAAATGGAATCTCTGAGTATATACTCCTATTTCGTAGGCTCTCAATTTTTAAATATACTTTAGCAGACACATATAGACTGTCCAGTAGAATTTATATTCTCTCAGTTGCAGTCTTATTTTTCCGACAAAATTTTTAATAATAGTTATAATCAAGTGCTTAAATTACAGTGAAATAAGTGCAACTTTGTAGCATTTTCTTGTTTTTTACAATTTTTATTAAATCTTGGAAAACATGTCAACTAATGGGAGGACATTTTGTCTTCCTTGTCATATTTGACAATTGTGACATCATGTAAAAATTGGTTCATTTCTCTGTTGCCACCTATTGTACTTGATAATCTATTTGAGCAGATATAACTTGAAATTATGTATTATACATTGCTCATTTTAACCAAGGACGATTTCAGATTCGTCTTAGTTCCCATGTTTATGAGAAAACCCTGCACCTAGAGACATCCCAATGAGATAAAAAGTTTTTATAGAAAAATATAACTAGGTTCTCAACATTCGTTTCTCTATGAGAAAATTCTTAAATCAATTTATCGTACGGGGTAGGCGTTTATATCAATATAATGAAGACGACTTTTTGTTTAAGTTTAAATTGTTAACAAGCTTTTTCCAAATTAAAAGTTTACAAGTAATTAAAGAGAAGCTTTTTTTATTGACAGCTTCTGTATGTTTCCATGTTTTTGTGTATCCATGCTGTTTAAAAGCTTGATATAAATAAAAATTGAAATCGAAAATCGTTTTCCTAAAATTGATATTATCGCCTGACACCTACCACCGTATAATAATTTATTATATCCAAATAAAAACTATCTTCTGTTTTGATATCGTATTGTCAGTTTTTGTTAGATAGGTCGAATACAACGATAGAAGTTTTTTAAAAATGTTTTCAAAGAAAATTAATGTCGAGATTTTTTTGGGCAACGTTATTCAAAATTGACCGCCCATAAATCAAGCAGACATACACGCCAAATATGTTTACAGAAGTATTAAAATCTGTTTGTTTACTTTCTGATTTTTTTATGGGGGGGGGGGGGAATCGGTAGATAAACGGGAATTATTGCATTAATTTTACATTGAAGTTTTAGACTTCCATGCAAAGCTATGTTCCCAAGCTAGAAATTATCGAATTTATGTTTTATGAGTTCTATTTACATTTGTTTCCATTTTCTTAGACAGTAAACATTCCCTGATAAATTATGAATTATGATGCATATATCTAGAGTTTTTATGGAAATTTGTTCTTCTTGTATTTGTATTTCAAACATTTTCTCTTTGTGTACATTGTAAAACAAAAACATAAAAGTTATCGGATTTTGTAAACAAATTTCGTTTAATTTTAAAATTTAATGAAAATCGAATTTTTTTGGAAGCTAATCATAACAGCTGAATCGATCCGGCCCAATTTGTTTGTGGTACCTCACATGACCCCAGGAAAGATTTATGGATGCTCAAAATTACAAAAAATTTAAAGTAAAAAGAAATATCTTTTGAATATTAATTAAGCGACAAAAATCATCTAGAATGGGAAAAAGCTAGTTTTTAATTTAATTAATGGAAAAATACCTTTGAACTGAGGCACGTATCCAAATTCAATTTATTTTTATTTCGGCTAATCATTTTTCTCATGCTTTTCCCTAATTCAATGGATGTTCATATAATTGAGAAGAGAAATTACTAAATTTTCCATTTCCCCTTTTTAAATAAGGAAAGAGCTTTCCAAAAATTGTCTGTATAAAAGATAGAGGACCCTAGACTAAAGTATTATATTGTTTTATATAATCCAAAAATTTTATTAAACCTATCGAAATTTACCGAAATTAAATCTATCAAAATTGCATGAAAAAAACTGAGCACAATTTTGTTATCAACCAAAAAACTAAATAAACCTTATTTTTTTTTCTCACCTAAAGGGAGAGACCGGCTAGTCATTGTAGTTGAGCTGAAAGTTCAGTATAGTAGATAAAACTTTTGAAATTCATTTGATACCAATGAGACATTTTTATGGAATACAACGTTTTAATAAGAGCGTAAAGGATCGTTTGTAATATTTCACCAGTTGTTTCATTCAGCAGAAGATACGAATTTTACAATTATTTAAAAACCCGGACAAAACATGTGAAAAAATTATTTTATAGACTAATTTGCTATTTGGAACATATTTCTTTAAAGAATTTATCTATGAAAGCCATAGTAGAACCGTAGAATCATTATCATCATACCTTTGCTTTTTCTATAATTGCATTCGCAGATTTCTTCAAAATGTCGTCTTCACAATTAACATAAAAAAGACCTCCAACAATCGACCTTAGCTGACAGAATTTGCATAAACCTGCGTGATTTTAAAGTGAATTTTATTAATTTATTTTTAATGATAAAAGTTCATTATTTCTTTCAACCAGTTTGTATACATGCAAGTATTTTGTAGAATAGTATTTGTTCCATGTTTTGTCCATGTTAATAGAATTGTAAAATAAAAACTGAAACAACAACTGAAATATAACAGACGACTTATACGCTACTGTTTGAAAATTGTACACTGTAAAATGTCTAGCTGTCATTGGTATCAAATTAATCCTAAAGTTTTTCACTCCAATACTGCACTTTCAGATCAACAACCATGTCTAGCCGGTCTCTCCCTTTAAAGTAGAATTGGTACGTTTACACTATAGTTTGATAATGCACATTTTTGCAGAATACAGCTTGGACAAATTAATAGCTTTCAGGATTTTGTTGGTACTCTAAAAAGTATTAAAAAATAATAATATACGAACTTTGGATGAGCCCGTAGTCGAGTACAATAAGAAGAACTAGGAACAGATCTACTCCCGATAGAACCAGCAGAAGTCTAAAATAAACAAGTCAGGATTATTTTTATATTTTGATAAATGAAATTTCCATTTTACAGTTTACAATTGTTCTGAAGGGACGCGGTGAATCAAATCTTTTTTAAATAATCTTTTCTTGTTAAAGTGCAAATACAATGAAGGGAAAAAACGCCATTTAACCTGTTAAATACATTTACCCTGTTAAATACATTTACCCTGTTAAATACATTTAACCTGTTAAATACATTTAACCTGTAAAATACATTTAACCTGTCAAATACATTTAACCTGTTAAATACAATTAACCTGTCAAATACATTTAACCTGTTAAATACATTTAACCTGTCAAATACATTTAACCTGTTAAATACATTTAACCTGTCAAATACATTTAATCTGTTAAATACGTTTAATCTGGTAAATACATTTAACCTGTTAAATACATTTAACCTGTTAAATACATTTAATCTGTTAAATACATTTAATCTGTTAAATACATTTAATCTGTTAAATACATTTAATCTGATGAATACATGTAATCTGTTAAATACATTTAACCTGTTGAATATAGATTTACCCTGTTAAATACATTTAACCTGTTAAATATATTTGATCTGGTAAATATATTTAATCTGGTAAATACATTTAATCTGGTAAATATGTTTTATTTGGTAAATGCATTCAATCTGCACGAGTCAATACATTTAATCTGGTAAATACATATTATTTGGTAAATACATTTCATTTAAAAGGGCAATGCCCGATTTACAACGGTACCCTTCAAAATTTTGACTGTTTATCGAGTAGAGAGAAACCCACTTGAAATCCACTTAATCGCGACTGTACGTTGTGTACAGTCTGAACCCGAAAGTAGATTGACGTTGTACGCTGTGTACAGTCTGAACCCGAAAGTAGATTGACTGTACGCTGTGTACACTCTGAACCCGAAAGTAGATTGACTGTACGCTTTATACAGTCTGAACCCGAAAGTAGATTGACGGATTTACGTTTTCAAAGATTCAAAAGTATATTTTCAACTTGAGATAGTAACTATTGATATTAAAGTGTTTATCAAATAAACATTAAATCTGTTGATTGCATTTGTCTGAGATGTAGTAAGGTATTTCATCTAAAATCGTTAAAATGTAAATATTTAATTGATTATTTGTTGCTGTAAACAACTGTGACATTTGAGATATTTACTGCATTTTTACCGCGAAAAGGTCCCTTTAGTGGAGAAGTAAGTATCACACAACTTTAGTGAGATTTTTGTTGCACTTTTGGCAAAATTATCAGAAATAGGGTTTCCACGAAACAGTAGATTCTCTTGTGCACCAGTTTCGTGTTTTTGCACGAAATGACTATTTTTGCACGAAATTTTACATCAATTTCGTATCAATACAAAACCAGTTTGCACGTTCATTCAAAAAAATCAGTTTTTGCACGAAAAATTACGCATGAACACAGAACTTAACTCATCAGTTATGCATAATTTTACGCATGAATACTAGGTCATAGTTTTTAAATGAAATTGGACATTGCTCATGATAAAGAAAACTTGGAGTACATCTTTCAATCATATTTCGGCTAATTTTGAGAGGTTCGGACACACACTAAAACCATATAACATTGTAATTTGGATATATTACGTTAAAACATATTTCATATATGTTTAATGACATATTGGGGGAATGTCTTTGGAAATGTTTAACCAAGATTAAACCCCCAGGTCCAGAGGAAATGTAGGCAAAAAACGGTAGTTTTCAAATGAAATGTCGCCTGTAAAGGGATTTAAATCTTTAAATTTAATTGTTGTATTTACAATTTGTGGGAACACATAAGAAATATAAAAAATTAATGTTTGAATTATGAAATTAATGGAAAATCTATGTACAATGTTACACGCAAAGGATGAGACTGTAAGGATGACATGAAACATTTAAAATTAGTTAGTTGAGAGCAGTTGAGGAGTCAACACCTCTCTCTGGAGGAAAGCATGCAAAATGTTTGCTAATTATAAGAGGACTAGAACTTGTATGTTCGAGAGGAAACCATTTAGGTTCCCGTTTGATAAATGTGGATGTCAAGTCCACTAGAAACATCGAGAATGGGTTTACGCCCTTTGATTTTTGTGGATGTCAAGTCTACTAGAAATATCAAGAATGGGTTTACACCCTTTGATTATTGTGGATGTCAATTCTACTAGAAACATCGGGAATGGGTTTACACCCTTTGATTATTGTGGATGTCAAGTCTACTAGAAATATCAAGAATAGGTTTACTCCCTTTGATTATTGTGGATGTCAAGTCTACTAGAAATATCGGGATTCGGGAAAGGGTTTACACCCTTTGATTATTGTGCATGTCAAGTCTACTAGAAATATCGGGAATGGGTTTACACCCTTTGATTATTGTGGATGTCAAGTCTATTAGAAACATCGAGAATGGATTTATACCCTTTGATTATGTTATGATTATTGTGGGTTTTAAAAGTCTACTAGAAACAAAAATATTTCTATAGTATTTGACAATCTCTTTGCTGCATTGAAATTGTGAGTTTTAAAAATCCAGCGGCGTCATGCAAAAAATTCAAATAAATAACTTTATATTTTAAGTTTTAAATTGAAATAATGAGGATTCCTTTTATAAACTGCTAAACTTATTTCCCCCAAAAATAAATTAATCTTTCCTCTAAATAGCGTATTTTTGAAAAGATTATGAACAATGTAAATGATGCACCATAGCATATACTCTTAAAGTTCAAAGGGCGCCCATCATAACCGAAAATTTTCACTGTTTAACGAAAAGATTGTGGAAATCTGTAACGCTCATGCAATGACAGTTAATATTATGATTTTTTTCATATTTTCTAAATTGTTTAGACTACCCCAAACAATTTGTCTCGATGCCCACAATGCGGAAAATGATGCAAAAATTGCTTTGTAAAATGTAAAACAATTTATAAACTTAAAAATTTATAAACACAATTCATTGATCTTTAATAAACTTATAAAATTTCTTAAAGTTTCATCTTTCGCTTGATGCCGTGGGATTTTAAAAAATCGTAATTTCAATGTCCTAAATTTATCATTTAAAAATGTAATATCTGCGGGAAGACTCAAATGCTGTGGCATGGAAGACCGTAAGGTTGTAACTCATGGCTGCCGAAAAACAAAGAAGATAATAAGTGGCATGGAAGGAGAAAATGTTGTGGCTTATGATGGCTACCTGCCTATTCCCACTCGAGTGATAAATTCATTAATTTCCTGAAATTGTTTCTCAAAATTCAACAAAATAGCTCAAAATAAAGAAACAGGTCGAAAGAACGAAATAGCAGTAAACAACGAAATACTCAAAAATCACGATTTTCGTCACAATGTGTGCGAAATAGCTTTTGCACATCAATGCGAAATCATGTCAAAATTTCGTGCAATTTTTAGTAGAAACGAAAGAAAATCTTTGCGTAATTGCCAATTATTGCATGATTTTAGTGCAAAAAATTTCGATTGGAAACCCTAATCTAAAAAGGACTATAAGCGTAATTTCTTTCGATTGACTGTCCATTTTAACAGGGAAGTTAACAACTTTTCCCGATTTACGGAGACGCATCTCAATATTTTAATGTTTATGTTGGAATAGATGCCTTAAAACTGAATCTTTTAACATGCATTACATATGTTCCTGAAGAATGTACACAAATTCTAACGGGTTCCCAATTGATATATATATATAAATATATTACAATGTAACCAGTGGAACACACCTTGGAGTGGGAGGACGACATTTAAGCAATCTTCTTTCTGTTTAATGTTGTTATAAAGCAAATAGTTTGAATATTAGTTTATCACGTTTAATGAGTTTGTGTACACTGTATGATTGCTGCGTTTCATTATAAAATTTATAACTTGAACTGAACAGTCGTCTTCCTAATCTACAATTTCATGGGTCCCAGTGTGCTATATCTAACCTGTGGAAAACATTGTTCAGTTTGTCCCGTGTAAAGACTAGAGTGAGGATAGACAGAGTATTTCCAACCAGGCCCATACATCCAACTATGATCTAGAAATACATCCAACTATTATCTAGAAATACATCCAACTATTATCTAGAAATACATCCAACTATTATCTAGAGGAATACATCCAACATTATTTAGAAAGACATTTACAGTAAGAAATTCAACTTAAAATGCCAAGACATTGTTCTTCAGACATCATAAAACTAAAAATTCTGTAGATTTTCCTGTTTTCATTGGTTGATTTACAATTTTATTAAAAAAAATTTATTTTATTTTAAACAAGTTTTCTATATTTTCTCATTAGTTTGACGTTTATTGGAAGCAAAGTGAATCATGTAGTATACATACATACTCGTGTACATTCAGGGGCAGACATAGGGGGGCGGCAGGACCTTTGCACCCCCCTGACGGATTCAGGGGGATGTATTCCCCTCTGAGTTTTCATAATAGCTTCTCAATAGCACATAAGGGAAAGAAAACCTAGTGCAAAACAGAAAAAATATCTATCTTTAAAAAAAAGACGCGCCGTCTTTTGGTTCATAAATCTGGATTTTTTTGGTTCCAAAATAAATCTATACACCCCCCTCACTTAAATCCTGTATTCGCCCCTGTGTGTGTACATTTGAATATGAGCTGAACAGCCCCGCCAGGTACGCCAAGTACACTAGCAGTCTAGCAGACTTACAGCAGGTGTCAATACAGTTGGCCTGTAGCTCTGTAGGCAGGGCTGGCTGGTGCAAAAAGGTTGACATCGCTAAAGCGGCAGTTTCGCATGTATAACGCATATTTAGTTACAATTCAGATAAAACAAATATAATTGAAAATTGTGATTATACATGTTTATAGAAGTAGTCTTATTCAATTCAATTCAATTCAATTCAAGAAGCTAGGGAATTCCCGTGGGCTCCTCGATCTAACTGGGGTACGCCATCACGATCCCATCCAGATCAAGGCTTTCAGCCTGAGATAATTTAGTTCTAACGTCTAATATAATATCTAGTACTTGAAAACTATTTGAGAACTATTATATGGACAATAGATGGTATACACAATAGACATGTATATTTGGAACTTTTATTTTTTAGAGGTTTATCCCTTATCATGCACATGCATTTGTTTTTAAAAATTATTTTAATTTGATTTAGCTAAAGATAACAGTAACTCATCATTTTTTGAACGTTTTAACTTGATCAGATGGCTATTTTTTAATATATAATACTTTTTTGAATTATGACTTTTTCTTGTTTTTTCTATAAGAATTTCGGACAGTCTAATAAAAACCCAGTCATAAAGCCAGTTTTTAGGATGTAGACTTGATTAACTCTTTATCAAACTTCATTGTTGATTACACACTACATTTTAGGGTAGAGGACGGTTTATTGAATCGAAGATTTAAAACTTACTTATTTGAAAAGTCCTTAAAAAATAGATTTAGATTTTGTAGATTTAAAAAGTTTTTGATATTGTTTGGGTTAAAATTATTATTTCAAAGGGTTTGTTAACTACAGTAAACTACCTATTGTAAGCATGGAGAGAGAGGCTCACTTGTAAATAAACTGTAGTTAATGATAGCAGTGGGACAGATAACAAGTCATCTCATCTATATCATTATCATGCAGGAAGATTTAGCCATCAAAAAATGCCAACCCAGAGAATGCTTTGAATGATGATTGTGCGCGTGGAGAAATCCAAGCCCCCGTTGGACTGGGAATTATATTTTCTAAGTTTGACATGAGGCAGAAGGAAATATAATTAACCTGGACTTAAACCGCAACAAGAAGTTAGTGTTCACGAAGAATCCGAAGACGGAAAATTAACTCGTCATATGGGGCGAATGAAAGGCGGAGAGTCCGTCAGAGAGCTCTCGCTTTCCGGTTTCATTTTTATTTGTTTTCTAGATTTTACACAGTTATCCAAACCATCAAGTATTTCAAGTATTTCAAGTATTTCAACGTCCCAAAATTATCGTTTAAAGCTATCCCTTTATTTTTGTCAAATAGGATTTTGCCAAAGAGTTGAGATGAGTGTTAAAAATGACACCAATTTAACTTTTGAACGCAAATTCTTTGAAAAAAGTTAGACTTCTAACTTCAATGGTTTGTGCGCCCCGGGAGTTTAAAAAAAAATAAAAAGTACGTTTGAAAAATTTAAAGCTTTTATTTTTAATTTTGACAAATATTAATATGTGCAGCCTTCATCAATTGTTTAAAGGCTATTCAAATATGTCTGTCAAACATTATAAAAAAGTTAAGAACTTAAAAAAAATATTTTAAAATAAACACCGTTCTTTTGCAACTTCCCTTTTGTTCTCAATTATGAAGTTGAAAAGTGAAATGTTTATTTCATAGTTCATAATGTAGGTCGTCTTTAAGTTATGCAGAAAATATAATCCCACCTCCCCCTTCCCCCCCCCCATTGTGATAGGGTTAAGAGTTAAGACTTACCATAAGTACCCCCTCAAGCCAGAACATGCACAGATCTTTATCGAGCTGACTCAAATCTAGACTCACAGAACCACAGCTAAAAAATAGTTTGTAAAAATATGATTCATGTTAAATCTCAACAGCATTTTTTTAGTTGCAATTCGTGAACATGACGCGTTTTAATTTTAATGAAGTTATATTAGGAAAATTGAAAAAAGACTTGAAAGTCGTCTTTGATTTCTGATATTCATGATGCATGGAAAATAAAGTAAAATAAGCGAGGCCGGCGTACGCCTGACGAGCCTTTTATAAAGTGTTCTACCTTTCTTGTATCTAAAAAATTGACGAAGATATTAGATATTAAGACAATTTTGATCTATTAAATAGATTTAAATTTTAAAAATACAAAAATGGTAGACCACATTTTGAAAATCAAAAGACCAGGCGTTTTCGATATTAGATGTTTAAGCTGGAATACTGCATAGATCGATGACGATAAAAAGTCGTCTATGCATTTCCACGCTTATTGGGACTACTCATTGCTGCTCAAGCCAAACAGATTATCAAGTACAATAGGTGACAACAGAGAAATTATACAATTATACACGACGTCACAAGTGTCACATATAACTAGGAAACCACATTTTTCTAACATAAGTTGAAATGTTTTCTACATCTTTCATCAGAAATAATTTTAAAAACATCACGTTATACTATAAACAGAATAAACATTACATACACTCTTCTACCTTTGTAAATTTGACACAAAATGTAGGATTTCATGCTACTGAGATGGCATTTTATAGATAATAGATAATTTTGAAGATTAGGCATTCATTACTTTGAATGAAGTTGTACAACCATAAAACTCATGGAATAGAAAGCCGACTTTATTTATGACTTCAAATCGTCAAATAAACATGAGACACAACGATTTTTTTAAACAGACACATTTCACTTCACAAGTTATTTAATAAGTTAGAAGTAAAACTATTTGCTTTCTAACAACTTTAAGAATACAAGAATGTGATATAATGTCGTCTTCCTATTCCATAGTTTACTGGTTATCACTGTGAGATAAGACCCAAGTCATTAAATGGGCGAAAGGGGGAGGTGAGGGGGGAGGGTGAATGGATAATGGATATATCTTTGTTAAAAAAAGAAAAATCATGTGATTATTTTATGCAGAATCCCAAGAAGGCTGAGTTGTGAATGGCTAAAATTCTTAAAAGAAATTTAATTAAACCTTACTATGTAATCTGTTGTAAGTTTTATTAAAAGTGTTTTTAACTCTAAAATGAATAATGGTTTCTTTACATAGAGTAGTTTTTTTCTAGTAATTGAACGCTTTTATTAGATTTGAATCTAGATTTATATTAAAGCTAAATTTTGATATTCCTGACTAAAAAAGAAAGCAATTAATATGAAAGATTTTTCAGAAGACATTTTTAGAAAGCTGAAGTAAAGTTGGCAAGATCAAATGTGCATGTGAAGCAAAAATATTAAAGTTCTTTGAATCCTAGAATTTATGTGCAGCGCGAGAAGGTTACAAATCATTTTATAAATCCTTCTTCAATTTTTACAGAATTTTATTAGGTGGCCGGCATTATAAAAACACTTTAATTTATTTAGCCCGCATTTTAATATAAAAATTAACGTATGATTTTATCTCAGCAAACCTGGTTTTCTCGTGAAGAAACTAAGTTTTTGTCAAAAACTAAAGTTTTCTAATCTCTACATCTTTGCAACATGAGGATGACAACTTTTGATATTTCAAAATTTGATTATTTGATCTAATAGAATTCATAGTTTGAAATACCTAAGGTCAACTACATTGGGTTGCAAAGATATAAGGACTAGAAAATCAGAGTTTGTGGCAAAAAGTTCCTTTTTTATGGATTTTCACAATATTAAAAATATTAGAAAATTAGAAAATATTGATAAATATCTAGAAACTGACCTGTTGCTGTAACTAGAAATAAACTCCTCGTCTAACATTTTCTGTTCATTTTATATGAAAAAATGCAATAAAAGAAACATTTAACAAATTTTCTTTGGGATATCCTTACTTACTTCCTGCGACTGAACTTGATATCTACATTATCTAGTGAACAAACTTTTAAATTGAGGTTTAACTTCTGAAAGGGACTATACGCGTAATTTCAAGTGTTCCTTCAAGTAAAGATGATAATGTCCTATTCACAATGGTACCAAATTTAAAGCTTTGTCTGATCAAGTATGAATTAGAATTAAATGTTTATAACTTTGAAAATTAGATTATTTTCAACTGTGGTTATTTTACAGAATAATATACAGGAATTATCAGATAAACACATTTTCAAGTTTCGAAAAATTACCATATCTTTAACATTATTGACAAGAAAAGGGTTTCAAGGGTACCATTGTTAATCAGAAACAGAATCACTTAACATTTTTCTTACAGTCCCTTTAAATTGGTGAAGCTAGGTTGTCCGTTTCTATAGCATCATCATACAGGGTGACACAATAAACATGGGAATTCAGTGACGAATTCGATATCGTCTTTTTGAATAATTAGTTTAGTGATACCTACTGAGAAAGTTGTAATCTGTAAGAGTTTCGTCTGCTATGTTCACATTTAGTTTGTTTATGTTTTGACTGCATACGGTTGTCTTAGTAAAACAAGAAAATTGCAGTATACAAACAGAGTAAACTTGTCCGTCTTCACCGTTCATCTTACGGAGACATTATAAACATCTTTACAGTTTTTTACCCTTTTCATAAAATTAGCTCTAGCAGACATAATAATATTATAGCTTTTGAAATTAGGTATTACAATGCTAACGACAAACGAAAAGGTTTCAGCCCAAACCTTTTTTTAAAAAGTTATTGAAACTTTATTATTGCATCATCTAAAAAGTGAATTTTATAGTGCTCTTATAAGAGCATAATTTGATATATGATAATTTTGTTGAAAGTTAATTGCATCTAAAAGAGAAAGTTAATAGAAAGATATGCGTTTTTTAATTCAATAAAAGTTCAGAAAATCTTGATTATTTAAAGTTTGTGTAATCCTATAGCTTAGGAAGTATTTAAGAATTTAATTTTAAGATATAAAATGTGAAAAATTCTAATTTAATTAAATTTTTTTCATAAAATAATAAAGAAGCACACAAATTGACTCTAGTAATGAACGATGAGAAATGAGTAACCATATTTCACTGTAAATTAGGAATAATAACACATTAATATAAAAGTTGCTGAAAGAACTTCGAAATTAAGGACGTTCGTTTAGAAATTATGATTATGTTGTTAGATCGAGCTATTTATTAGGAACTGCGTTTTTGTCTCAAACTCAAATTGTCTAATTCCTAGATCTTTGCCTGTCGTAAACCTTAGATATTTCAAACCAAAAATTGTATTAGATCAGATAGTCTAAGTTTTTAATATAAAAGGTTTACACTATCTATTTACAAAAATTCGATTTGGCTATCGATATTTTGGGGTATTTTTTCGGCAATTTATATTTTTTTGAAAACATGGCGGTTTTATTAAATCATTCAGTAACAAAACCAGTTTCTAAGGACGAAGTACGAGAAAGGATCTGTATCAGAATGTTTTTATGAAAAGTTTTAATAAACAAGTTTATTTTGAAAGAAAATCCGGCATCTGAATCTGCAAAACCTGAATAAAGCAAATCCAAAGATCTGGCTCTATTTCTATAGCTCAGACTCTTTATCATAACCTTTTTACATTATATTTTTGTAACCAAACAAGTTGTTTTCAGTATGTGATGATATAAAGACGCAAAGCCGAACTACGGTAACACTGTACGAAATAAATCTCTTTCACGTAAAAAAGTCTTATCACAAAAACAGTGGAAACTGTAATTTTTCTTTTAAAACTTACATATCTTGTCTATATTTATATGTAATAAATATTGTGTAACACAGTACTGTAAACCTGAACTACGTTGTACATTAATTATCTACGTTTGTAAACTTCTACGTAAATCCCATTATTCATTTGAACTGAGCTTCTAATGAATACGTAGCATGATTAGCTTAATCATGTGATATCTAATGACGTATATCTTGATTGCGTCTATTTTAACTATGCTGTATATACTTAACATGATTAGCTTAATCATGTGATATCTAATGACGTATATCTTGATTGCGTCTATTTTAACTATGCTGTATATACTTAACATGATTATCTTAATCATGTGATATAGATAATGACGTAGGAATTGTAATTACGTCTATCAACTTTAACTTGTAAGATATAAAACTCAAATAAATTAGTTGATATAGAAACTCCAATTTGCTTGCAGCGAGAGAGTAATCGGTTCTTGTTAAAACATACAAGCAGAGATCGTGGCCATTGGTATGGCATTGATCAATTAATAGTTAGTGTCCTTGTCAACATCGATAGCTGACAAGATCTTGCCCATTGGTTTGGTGTTGATATAATATGAGCTATGTGTCCAGCTGACATTGATAGCTCATGAGATTGTGCCCATTGGTTTGGCATTGATCCATTAAAAGCTAGTGTCCTTGTTTACATTGATAGCTCATGAGATTGCGCCCATCGGTTTGGCGTAAATTGAATAGGAGCTAGTGTCTGGTTGACATCGATAGCTCGTGAGATTGTATCTGGGTTTAACATTGAAAGCTTTATGTAACTGAATTGTACCTGGATAGATACGTGTTCGAGAACCCTTTATGGAGTAGGGCATTTACTACATATATATATGTTATACAAATTTAATGTTTTATATAATCTGACATTTTCAGATATTTATCGATTTTTTTCCAGTCTTCTTACTCTTTATGTTAGCTNTTGACATGAAGGTTTTATTTAACTAATAACTAAAACTACATAACGCTTTACAGCATAATTTATTTAATTCAAATATATTTGTTTAGAGCATTATTGAATTTGACAAAACAGCCACAGATCTTGGTAAGTTTATACATAATTTGCTTGTCTGTCTGTCAGTCCGTTTGTATCAAATAAACGTTTATTCGGCTAAACCTACCATGCCCATCATTTTTAAGGCACCTCACAGGACCCCCAGGGAAGGTTTATGAAAATTACAAAAATGTCCTAAAGTTTTTAATTTTTGTTAAATTTTGAAAATGTGCAAAAAAATATTATTAAATTCGCGATTTTTTATTTGTTTTAGTTTTATATTGTACAAAGAGAAAATACTTACAGAAAGAGCCACAAGTAAAAGTTAAATAAGAGGGTGGGTGCAAAGCGCCCTAAAAGCCTAGTTACACCAAATTAAGTTTGATTTAGTTGATGTTTCAACTAAATTAAATTAAATAACCGTGACCACTAATTACTTCAGTCCTCCTTCGGACCCAGAGCTAAGATGTAACCAGTTTGAGCTCAATAGCTCAGAGGGATAGTTCCATTGATGTAACCCCTTTAGTTCTTATACAAACCCGGAGCTAAACTTAGATTGGATAGTTCTATTGATGTAACCCCATCAGTCCTCATATGGACCCGGAGCTAAGCTCAGATTGCAAGTGGTCCGGCCTATAAAAAACACAACGTATTAGCTCTTTTGTACATAGATATAGGTCGGAGAGAAAGTGGGGCGGATGATAAGTTGCCAGCGTGGAGAAATATTTGTCGTTAGAAAATGCCAACCCAGAAAAAAAGCCACCGTTGACCCAGATCCTACTTTAAATTAAAGCCAATCATCTCCTTCTAAGTCGTGGTTCATGCCTATTGGCTAGAATTCAAACTAGGATCTGGGAACCAAAATAACAGTGTTATAAATGGTTTTATAGACTAGAGATTATTCTTGTTTACAAATATAATTTTGTTTACTATTCTCCCAAAAACTGCAGTACTACTGAGAGAAAATGTGTTTTGGTTGCATGCATTAAGGATTTCAAAGCATGTTTTAAAAGAGAGGCAGGTTCGATTAACATAGGTATCTTTAATACATTATTTTAGAACCAATGAGAAAAATTTCCTGGATTTTCTATCTGCAACCGTAACTCATATTTAAAGAGAAACCACAATTGAAAATAATCAAAAAGAATATCTCATTTATGGCTGATCAGACAAAGGTTTAAAGGGTATCGATGAGAATTGGAAATGCCAATCTATAAATGGAGGGATAATTGAAATACGTAGAGAGTCCCTTTAAGATACCCTTCAAATCACTTTCTTAGAAAAGTAAGAATTATAAATAAAGATTCTGCGCCCGGTTGAAGCACATTCATCAACTTGTTTTGACCGAAACAAAACTTTCAAAGAATTCCAATTTTCATCAACACTGTTCACTTTGGTTCCTTCTATTAAGAAACCAGTAAATCTTAAGAAAATAAAGCCTAAAAAATGTATGAGAGCTTACTATGAAACTGTAGTTTCAGTAAATATTTCCATTTACTGAGAGCGCCCATTAAAGGATTTATAACTCTAATTGGATAATGAGATAGATAAAAAGATAGATGTTACCGCCAAACTATTTCTATTGGTTCAGAATAGACAACAAACACATGGCTAAACCCTGATTGGATCAGGCGCTAATGGACTCGGCATACAGGAGTGATGAAACTATAAAACCTGTTATGCTTAAATATAGATAAGAGTTTACACTATACATTGTATAAGCCCTTTAATAAAAAAGATTTGAACCTTTTACTGTATGTTCTAAACATGCTTTTATTTTGTATGATTAAAGATTACGTTGAAAAGAATTATTCTGAAATGTGATATCTTAACAGAATTAATGAGTAAAGAAAAAAGAACGTTTTTTTATGTTTATCAATATCAAATGTTTTTTTTTATCAATTTCTATTATTTTGTTGATATGAACTTTTATCATAACACCAATTCATTGTATTTTGTGTACAATATATATATTTAAAAAAATAATGCTGAAATGTGATATCTTAACAGAATTAATGAGTAAAGAAAAAAGAACGTTTTTTGTATGTTTATCAATATTAAATGTTTTTTATTAATTTCTATTATTTTGTTGATTTGAACTTTTATTATAACACCAATTCATTGTATTTTGTGTACAAAATATATATTTAAATAAATAATGCACGGGTTACTCACAAAGGATGAGACTGTAAAGACGACCCATGAAACTTTTCAAATGTGATGATTCCTAGTGGGACGAATTGGACAACACTGCTTTATATCTTTATTTACAAACAAAGTGTACTGCAGTTTCTGGGAGGAATGTAAACAAAACCTCTAATAAACTTCCTCTCACAACATAATATTTTAAATTTGTTATCTTCGACTCGACTACAGCTAAATGATCATGATGATATTTTGTCCCTTCTCAGTGCACTTCTATCTTAAAGGGACTGTCGACTTTAACTCAATGGACTTTACTTTTAAATGGTCACGTGCTTGATTGTTTTTTTTTATTAAAAAATTGATCATTAACTTGGCGGTCATTTTAAATAACGTTGACAGTAGAGTTAAACAATTAGATCAACATTTGTGAACTACAATAATGCATTTTCATCTACCCCCCCCCCCCCACCACAAACCTTTTGGCATTAACCCCGTTTAAACCAGCTCCTCTGAATTCCCCTGGAAGACTCCTGAGTGCATAAAGGTTACATATATCTGTAGAGACTGCGGTAGAACTGGAGAAGAGATTTTCTCATCTTTTTCATTCTTCAATCATCCTCCACACACAACACGGTTTGCGAGAGAGAGAGAGAGAGAGAGAGAGATGCTACATGTTCATCCACAAAGAAAACAACCTGCAAAAACTTTTTCGTGTGAAGTATATAATTTTTAAACCAACATAACTGATCCCGAATTAAATTCGATATCGACATTTTTTCTGAACAATGTACTTTTCAGAACTTTCAATTTTCGCAAACTCTCTCTTTTAGCAATGATGTATAAAATCTAAGATTTTTCAAAAATGACTTGACCTTAAATTATTAAATTAGCAAATAACAAAAAAAAGAACAAATAACCAAATAAGAGCCAATGACCAAACAAGAACCAATAACCAAACAAGAACCAATAACCAAGCAAGAACAAATAATCAAACAAGAACAAATAACCAAACAAGAACAAATAAAAAACAAGAACCAATAACCAAATAAGAACCAATAACCAAACAAGAACCAATAAAAAAACAATAACAAATAACCAAACAAGAACCAATAACCAAAAAAGAACAAACAACCAAATAAGAACCAAAAACCAAACAATAAACAATAACGAAACAATAACCAATAACCAAACACCTGTGGTTTCAAAAATGTCTAAAGCCAACATCTAGTTAAGCAGTTATGAGTGACCACCTGACGGATTGAGAAGGACAGGGATAAGGCTAGGCAGTCTCAACAACTCTCTCAGCGAAAGGATTTCCAGTATTCTACTCAACAAGAAAGAAGCTTTAAATGGATTGATTTAAATTCTAAGTGAATGATGATGAAGATAGGAAAGGTGAACTAGCTGCAGAGAGAGTCGATGGTTGCCAGCCATTGGTACCTGTAGACTGTAGAGTGTAGGTATCCAATCCTGGCTCACAAATGATCGGAAGCAATGCATGTAAAGTTTCCTATCTGAAGTAAGACACCTGGGCCTCATTCCAGAATATCAAAAGAATTCATGCACTTCTCTATATCCTTAGACGTAAGCAGCTCTCAGACAGCTAGATTCTTGTCAGCCCTCTTCTCAGTATGAATGAAGCGTGGATGGATGAATGTGCTGCCAGATTACAACCTCTGGTAGATCAATAAAAAACCCTACAAGATCAAACTTTCACAATTGAAAAATTCAAAATTTTGATCGTAACATTCCGATCAAGTCCTTAGGACAAAAAATCTCTTTAAAAAAAAGAAATATCCAAACAATACTATCTATTATGATTTAAGATCTTGAATGCGTCACGTTTAAGTATTTCACCTGAACTTTTCAAATTTTCACCTGATTTCTGATTTTACATGTATGCCTGGGGTAAAATCAAGTTGGCCTCAAAACTGCTGATCTGTGGAATTCTAATCCTCCAGCTACAGTTAGGGAATATACCTAGAACTAGACTTCAGCAGCGCGCGCCAGGGAGTTAACCTTTCCACCTTTCTATATATCTGTCTTCTTACCTTTCTACCTTTCTATATCTCTTTCTTCCTACCTTTCTACCTGCTATATATCTTTCTTCCTACCTTTCTACCTTTATATATCTCTGTCTTCCTACCTTTCTACCTTTCTATATCTCAGTCTTCCTATCCTTCTACCTTCTATATATCTTTCTTCCTACCTTTCTACTTTCAATATCTCTGTCTTCCTACCTTTCTACCTTTCTATATCTCTGTCTTCCTATCTTTCTACCTTTCTATATCTCTGTCTCCCTACCTTTCTATCCTTCTATATCTCTGTCTTTCTACCTTTCTACCTTTCTATATCTCTTTCTTCCTTTCTTTCTGCCTTTCTATATCTCTGTCTTCCTACCTTTCTAAATCTCTATTTATAGCTTCTTACCTTTCTACCTCCCTGTCTTTGTACCTTTGTACCTTTCTACCTTTCTACCTGTCTTACCTTTCTCCATTCCTACCTTCCTACCTTCCTACCTGTCTTACCTTTCTCCATTCCTACCTTCCTACCTTCCTACCTTCCTACCTTCCTACCTTCCTACCTTCCTACTTTCCTACCTTCCTACCTTCGTTTAAAGTTGTTTGAAAAGACTAAGTGAACCGCTCCATGAAACTAGTTATACACTCGTCCCTAACTGTAGTGACCATGAGAAGGAAGAGCAAGATTCCCCAACTGTTTTGACCGTTGGGAGACCTAAATTAAACCTCAGTCCTTAAGCGTGGACTCATAGTTACACAGGTCACCAGTCCTAGGTAAGTTACCTGGATATTTCTGAGGATTTAGGTTTTTATATTTCTAAAAATTCACACAACACTGGGAATTTTACTTATGCGACACATTCTAAAGTTCAAATCTCTATGTCAGATGTCTTTATCATCAGATTGCAAAGATATAAAGATACAAAAATTGTGTTTGAAACTTTATAGTTTTTAATACACTGAAAGTGAAATTTAAAAAAATCATGACGTTACGAGATTGCGAAGTCGTAACAGTAATTCCTTTTTAATAAACTTCTTCTTTTTGTTGGCATTGAAGTAAATCTCTCTTGATTTAAAATCTCTCTTAAAAGTTCAAATCGTAGTTGGTATGGTATGACTTCAGACACGGGGTGTCCCAATACACAATTAAATTACGAGATAGAGCTTGCAAATGATCTTTGGTTTCTAATAGCAGAAAAGTGTGAATGGGGTGCATGAAAAAAGAGTGTACGTGTCATGAGCTTTTAGAAATAAAGTCTGTTTTTATGTATCTTTAAGTTTGACGGAGACAGCAACAATGTGAACAACTTTGTTGTTTTATAAAAACTGGATTTTGAGATCGAAACTGTTTGTGTTGATATTGGTAATCATGCACGCGGGATCTCGATATCCAATGTGGGAACATTTGATTTTGAGAGAAAATGCTTGATCTCTGTATAATTATAATTCCATTAATACATGAAGAGGAATTTAATGAATCCCTAGATCTGCATAAGAGGGGAAAATGCTTGATCTCTCTATAATTATAATTCCATTAATACATGAAGAGGAATTTAATTAACCCCTAGATCTGCATAAGAGGGGAAAATGCTTGAAATCTATATAATTGTCATTCCACTTATATATGAAGAGGAATTTAATTAATCCCTAGATCTGCATAAGATGGGAAAATGCTTGATCTCTCTATAATTATAATTCCATTTATATATGAAGAAGAAGTTAATTGACCCCTAGATCTGCATAAGATGGGAAAAATGCTTGATATCTATGTAATTGTCATTCCACTTATATATGAAGAGGAATTAAATTAATCCCTAGATCTGCATAAGATGGGAAAATGCTTGATCTCTCTATAATTATAATTCCATTTATATATGAAGAAGAAGTTAATTGACCCCTAGATTTGCATAAGATGGGAAAAATGCTTGATATCTCTATAATTGTTATTCCACTTATATATGAAGAGGAATTTAATTAATCCCTAGATCTGCATAAGAGGGGAAAATGCTTGATCTCGAGATTCATAACATAAATATTTTAACTTCTTTAAATACATCTCCGTCAATGGGGAAGGTGTAAAATTAGTAATCCACATTTTGGAATTCCCAAGTCTAGCAGTTTCAGGGGATATTAGTTCCAAAGCTTACACTTGGCCCATTCCTAACACTGAGTGCTAGAAATGAAAAATGCTTGATTACAACACAAATATCTTAACTTCTTTAAATACATCTCCGTCAATGTGGAAGGTGTAAAATTAGTAATCCACATTTTGGAATTCCCAGGTATAGCAGTTTCAGGGGACATTAGTTCCAAAACTAACACTTGGCCCATTCCTAACACTGAGTATTAGTAATGGGCACAAATTGAAATACTGGATTTTTGGGTTCCTGGCCCATAACTCTTGACCGTTTTCAAGACAATGTCGGATTTACCATTTTCGATCATATCCTGAATTTTAAACATTGTCGAGAAAAAACCCACTTTCCCGTTTTTGAGTTTAATCCGCAATTCAAAACAAACTCACTTTCATAACTTACAAAATAAATCACTGAAAACAAAAATTATCTTATGAAGTCTAAAACTTTTGAATTATTTCTAGTTTTTTTACACTTTATTTGAGTAAAACAGACCTAGTAAAGGATTTTATGTCTGCATAGAAGCTTGTTTTAAACATACTTATAGAAAATTAGAATCAATATTATTTGATTATTTGATTTTTAAAGTTGTGGTATTTTTGCCATGTTTCTATGATTTATAGATATTTTATATAATCCTTGTATTATTATTATTATATCCTAGATCAATTGCCCAGCTTACTCATAGTTACTCCCGCCGTTTCCCCGCGCTTGGTCTTAAATCATTGGTTGCCCGTGGAATTTTAAAAAATTTCATAATTTGTTTAGTATTTGTCACCCCCGAGGTACCCATGGTTTTGCTAAAAAAATTCAGCCACTTTGGGTTAGCCGTTTAGTCAGCTATAGCCTATAAGTAACATATAAATGAGCGAAGAGCTGTATTATTAAGATAAATTTGTAAACTTATTAAATTCAAAGAAAAACATTTTTCTTGTGCCACAAGCCACAAAAAAATGAAATCCACCCCTTGGTTAGTTCAACTACTTCTCTCTCCTTCATAAGTTCTCACATTTAAAAACAATTTTCTGACATTTGAAATAGAATAAAATTGAAATTATTTCCCTTACATCAAAAAGTTTTTATGAAAGATTAATTAAGAAGAACCCCCCCCCCCCTCTCTCACTAACTTCTTTGAAATGATCTTATCTTTCTTTAACTATATTACTTTTCATCTGAGTCTGGATGAAATTAATTATAATTACTATCACTGATTTTTAAAGTTTAATTGTAAACGGAGAACCAAGGCACGTGGATTTAATGGTTCTGTCAATATTCCAGAAAGCTGTGACTTTCGATCACAATTTGACCCATTAAACATAATTTTTTAGCCTTTTTTCTTAAATACTTTTTTTGTAGGCATATGCATTTGAAATGAAAATGTATTAAATAAACAAATCCGTAAAGTAAATGATTATTGAATTAAAGACCAAAACACGTTTGATTTCAAATCGAAGAAACAGAATGCTGCTCACTCTGGTTAGTCCGGTGTGAAGGGGTTCTCAATCAATGGACGAGATTTCAAGTTCCCACAATGAGATGTTATCTATTTTTTAAATTGAACACGAGGAATACTATCATCATTTTTTATCAGGCAAAGGTTTGAAGTGTACACTTGTGAATCATACATGCCACTTTTAAAACTGGGAGACAGTTGAAAATTGGTCGATAATCCCGCAAAACAACATATCCATAGTCTACAATGCATCCAAAAGACCAAAATGAATCTAAAAGACCACAATTTATTAAATCTTATAGCAACGTATCCCTAGCCACAAAACTACAAAGTATCCACAAGACAACATTATGTGAAACTAAAATTAATTTAATGGTGTAGTCTAAATTTTAGATACTTCGAATATCTAAAAAATAGACGACATTTAAAATTCGGTGATGGCGATGGACCAAACCTCTGTAGAGTAAAAAAGTAGATGTTAGTTCCACATTTATTGAAAATATATTCTGTCTGGGTTAACCCTTGTCAGTTCTTGAGATTGTTTCTGTCACAAAGGTTACATATTTCAGGGTGTCCCACGAAACATGACAGTTGGTGAATAGTTTGAATGTCTTCTTCCATATATTTTATTAGATATTAAAGACTTTCTGCAGTTTATTTCGTTGAAAAACATCTTTTCCTTAAACTTATTTTACTTTGAAATCAATTTTACTATAATATGATTTCCAAATAATATTTTTTATCATTCTCTTTAGTATCAAACAACTTAACTTATTATGGAAGAAGACATTTTAAACTACACACCAACTGTCATGTTTCGTGGGTGTATGTCACTTCAGTTATTTCGATTATCTTAAAATACACATTTTGAAAACGTATAAACATATAGCATTGTCCCACAACATAATATAACGTTAATATCAATTATATGTAAATCCTTGATATTCATTTAATAATTTCTGCAAGATTTTATCAAATCTTAACCAGCAAAACTTTAAATAAGTTAGAGACAAGAATTAGGGATAAAAAGGATACATTTGAAAATTTCTGAACCATCTCTTCTATTTAGGATGAGCGAAGAGAAGCCAGCAGAACCTGCAGCAGAAGCAGCTCCTGAGGGAGAAGGAGGAGAACAACTAGAGGTTAGAATTCTTATATAATCATAAATATTAATAACTAGCCGGAGGGCCCGGTGTTGTCCGTGTAATTTTAAAAATTTACAGGTTTCTTATCGTATGTCACCCCCGGGATACCCATGGGTCTAAAAATGTCAGCCAATTTTGTCCATCCGTTTGAAATTGCGTCAAGTGTTTTTATGATAACTTTGCAGAGCGGGTCGTTATTTTACTTAATTGTCCATAGGGACGTAAAATACCTTAACGTCCCTCTGTTGGGGGAATCATGGGCCGGTAATGCTGGTTAAAAGGTGGTAATATAAATATCATTCAATTTACGTAAACAGATTCTTTAAAACAAGTTATACACCTAAAGAAACATAAAAAAGATGAAGCAATTTTCTCTCTGTTTATTTTGTTTTCCAAGACAGTAATAAATGGAGTGCAAAATGTAAAATGTTGACAAATGTATTATTAATCTCAAGTTTCATAAATAAATTCAATTTGCATACAATATTTACATAAATTCATTTTTTTCTTAATTTAGGATTTCAAATATGTATTTTTCTATTTTAGATGGTTGACTTATGTAAAAGTTGGCTTTTTTCTTGTATGTATCATTATATAGATAATAAAAAATATTTAAATCTAATTTAAAATTCAAAGGTTTAATGAGAGTTTGAAACTTTTAAGTGAGACGACGTTAAGTTTTAACTGGTCTCTCATTGGTCAAACCTCAAACTTTGACCAATGAGAGAAAGGTTTATCTTCCCTACAATCAAAGGTTTTCAGTCGGGTTTCCACTGGAATTCCGAGTTACGGTTTACGTACGGAAATAGTGCGAAATTTTTTTCCATTTTTATTATGGAAAAGGTTCCGTAATTCCGGAATTCCGGAAATAATTTTTTATCCGTAATAAACTGGAAATTCTCGGAGCCCCTTTCTGTAATTCTAAAACGTTCCAGAATATTATTCCAGAAAATTCCGGTTAACGGAAAAATCGTTCCGGAATTTTCAAGGAAAAGGTTCCGGAAAAACGTTAGAAACATCTTAAACTTATTAATTGATAAAAATACGAGGGGGGGGGGCTAGTCTATCCGATGAGCCTCTTGAAAAATAAAAACTAATTTGTATTTAGAATATTAAGGGGAAAGTGAAAACCTATCGTGAAGTAGTCATGATGAACTAAAGTAAAATATTTGTGAATATATACAGGCATCCTTAAAACAGAATAAGAAAAATATTGATGGCATTTGCTGAAAATGTAAACATTTAAAAGTTTTTAAAGGAAGTAGAACCGGTGAGTGGAAAACCTATGGAAAAACAGTCTACGTCTCATGGAAAACAAGAAATTATTAGGTTGCTACACAAATTCATATTCCCATTCTGGTTTCCATAATGGAAATCTGGAAATTTTTTTCAGATTACGCATCAGATCCTAAAACATTTCCAGGTTTACGGAATGGGAACTGGAATTTTCCGGTTTCCATTTCATCCGGAAATTTCCTGGAATTCCACTTTAGGGAACAAATTTCCGGATCATTCCATTTCCAAAATGGATTTTTTTCCCCGGAAAAATGAAAACCATAGTTTTAAATGACGGCTCTGATGAGAATGAAATTGACCTGTTTTTTAACGAATTTAAAGTTGCGTAAACGTTTTCAGTCATGTTTACTAAAACATGAGAAACGTTTAATATTTCAATTAAATAAAAATGTATACAAGACAAATACGAAGAGTGTATTTAGTAATTTATCAAAGAAAGGAAATTAAGAATATAAAGTCAAGGCAATTTCATCCTTGAGTTAAGTTATTCATAATATTTTCTTTAAGATTTTAAGCAAAATATTTTTTTTAGTTTTTTTTTGAAGGAATTTTGTTTAGCTCTACTTTCAACAACAATCGTCATTTGCTGTATCCTAGGAGGATGCTGAGGTGCTGAACCCCCCGTGTATCGACCTGACGGACTACAAGCTCAAGATCGACCACTTCGACCAGATGCACGTGCTGGAGGAGGAGGGGAAACTAGAAGGGGCGGAGAACTTTAGACAGGTGAAGCTAAATTATTAAAGGGATTTTTGACGTAGGAAAACGGTTTTTTTTTACCCTAAAATGTTTAAGATCTAGATATTTATTTCGAAATAGTGGTTTATGTTTACATACATCTCTATTTAATTTTATTTAAAATGTTTAATTTTTACTTTGACTCTCATAAAACGGAACTGAGTTCTTGCCACAACCTCTGATATTTTCTTATCTCTATGTTCAAGACCCTGTGATATTTCAAACTATAAATAATATTGTCACTGTCAGAGCTGAAACTTTAGAATGGGATATCCTTAATCCCGATCGCTGATCTGAGTATCCAATGTACACACTTTTGATTTTCTTACTAATCCTCTCTTTTAGATAAAAGTAACTTAAGATCAAATAGATTATCAAGTACAATAGGTGGCAACAGAGAAATGGACCAACTATACACGACGT